TGCATTGGTACAAAGTAATTGAATGAAAGCCCAGCTGTGTTTAAAGGATTCATTAAAGGAGAATGCATTAGACATTAGACATGCGAGAAACACCACTGACCCTGAAATATTACATGCAACACTTAATGACTTCAAGACGCACTTATCAAAGCGAGGCTACTCTACTTCGGAAATTGATCCTATTATCAAGGAAACGGTCAACACAAACCGATCAAAACTCATCATCAAAAAGACTAAAGAACAGTCATTACGTAACCCTACAGTACTGGTTACTAAATTTAACCCTTGCGTTAAAGGACTGAAAAAACGAATTCTAAAATATTGGAACACCATTCTTAGAAATCCAGAATGCAAAACTTTATTTAATTCTCAACCAATCATTGCTTACAGCAAACATAAGAATATAGGTGACGAGATAATCCGGTCTCACCTAAAACAAACATCATGATTTATGTCCGTGACCCCTGATGAGGCTTCTTAATAGCCGAAACACTCTACAACTACTTGCATAATTCAAATCAGATATTAATCTGCTCTATGCAAAAAACATATCTACTTAAAGTGTGGTTTGGAGTGTCGGGTCCTAATAAATCTCTTACAAGTTTGGTTGATTGATGTCGCTAATTTTCACACTTTGACTAGGGACAATGTCCCACCGGCATCATCCCGTGCATCGCCTTCCCTTGGACAGCGATCGACTTGTGTGGTTTATTTGGTCATCCAACAATCCGGCCACACTCTTTGCTTCTATTGTCTTCTAAGACATTTTATTACCAGCACTTCCTTTACCAAATCAGCACATGTTTGTAAAGGACTGAACTGCTACTTCAAAGATCGTCTTTTACGCTTCTCTTATAATCAAATACTTCGGCTTGCTCAAGTATACACATACAATAGTGCCTTTCATTCAATTACTTTGTACCAATGCAAGAAAACCACGAGAATATCAGATTGTGAATACTAGGATATATTGAAGGACCAGATCAGCTTAAACCAGGAAGAATTCATTCAGGATTTGGACAGTCATGTGAAATATTAATCCTCTTATTATCATTATATGATATTAAGACGGATCTTTATTTTAGCCTCATTTTATGACACTATGTATATCAGACGGCTTAAGATCCACAGGATTTAATTACTATAAAATTGGTGTGCATTAGCCACCCATTGAACCAGCTCTTAAACAAACACCGCCCCTTGCACGTGGCCATAACGAATCATCGGAATCTGACTATCGGTTTCTTATAGCCACATACTCTTCTTATCCTCTAATCTATCAACACTTATTGATAATTAGACGGATTCATTATCTCATCGAAATACTCATTGTTGATCTATAGCGCCTCGCTATATACAATATATTTACCACCTACTGCTCCTCTATTTGAATGGCTCGACGAATAAATAGACGGAGTAAACAATGCAAAAATGCTAAACGCACTCGTAATTATTTACGGGGAGTTAAAGCTCACTGCAAGGAAACTACGGCCACAGGGGGAAAGTTTGTTCTAATTCTATCAAGATACAACTTATCCCAAAATGAACTCTCAGTTCTAAGCAAAGGCTTAAAATTTATTCCAACGCCTAAAAGCGACAATGCTAAAAGCCTGCTGCTCAAAGATTTTGAAGAATTTGCCAGGAAACTCAGATGCAAATTCCACTTTCATACCGGAGACGACAATGCCATTCACCCCTTTAACACAAAATCTGGCTACAAACCGCCATTTACATGCAGCGAACTCGAGGAATATATAGATAAAACAAAATTGGAACTTTCCTCTTTGGAAATTGCAAAAAAGAGATCAAACATCTCAAATGCTGAAAGAGAAGCTATTTTATCTCTTAAGAATAACAACGACATTGTTACTAAAAAAGCAGATAAAAGCAACACAATTGTCATCATGAACAAAGACCAGTATGTCTTAGAAGCACAAAGCCAACTGCAATCTAAACACTATATGCAAGTATCTGAACCCAACATGCTCAAACTGCATGAAAACATTCAAAATAAATTTGCCGCAATGCATTCAAATGGGTCACTGGACAAAGAAACTTACAAATTTCTTAATGACAAAAAACCTTCACTCAAATGTGGGCATTTGTACCTTTTACCGAAAACCCACAAAATACCAGCAAACATTTACAATGCTCTAATAAACGATCAGTGCAGCATTAGGAAATTACCACCTGGTAGACCAATTATCTCGCAATGCGATACGCCAACGAGGAAAATAGGACAATATTGCGATTACTTTCTTGTACCCATTGTACAAAAACAATCAACTTATATCAAAGACACTACGGACTTTATCACCAAAATCGAAGGCCTCACATTGCTAACGAACGCATTATTAATTACTTATGATGTGACGAGCATGTACACAAACATGGAATTCAACGAATTTCTCTCATCAGTAAATGAGGCTTACACATAGGCCAATAAAACGCAATTAGACATTCCATATCCGGACCCTGAGGATCTAAACTTCTTACTGAAATGCGTCTTGGAAAACAATTACTTTGAATTCGATGGAAAATATTACAAACAAATAATAGGAGCAAGTATGGGGGCAGTCCCCAGTCCAGAGATCTGTGACATCAGAATGTATCAAATCACAAAGCATATAATGGCACAATTTCGTCATGCCAGCAAAATTGTCTTTCACGGCAAATACCGTGATGACGGTTTCATAATATTCAATGGAACGCAACCAGAGATAGAAGAATTTTTTAATATCAGCAATCACTGTCACAAGCATCTAAGATTTACATTTGAAATTTCTCCATCTGCTGTCAACTTTCTTGATACTACAGTTTATAAAGGACAGAAATTTCAAAATTTTAACAAACTTGATATCAAGTCGTTTATCAAACCAACAAATAACTTTCAGTATCTACACAGACAGAGCGCTCATAGCCCAGCTGTGTTTAAAGGATTCATTAAAGGAGAATGCATTAGACATGCGAGAAACACCACTGACCCTGAAATATTACATGCAACACTTAATGACTTCAAGACGCACTTATCAAAGCGAGGCTACTCTACTTCGGAAATTGATCCTATTATCAAGGAAACGGTCAACACAAACCGATCAAAACTCATCATCAAAAAGACTAAAGAACAGTCATTACGTAACCCTACAGTACTGGTTACTAAATTTAACCCTTGCGTTAAAGGACTGAAAAAACGAATTCTAAAATATTGGAACACCATTCTTAGAAATCCAGAATGCAAAACTTTATTTAATTCTCAACCAATCATTGCTTACAGCAAACATAAGAATATAGGTGACGAGATAATCCGGTCTCACCTAAAACAAACATCATGATTTATGTCCGTGACCCCTGATGAGGCTTCTTAATAGCCGAAACACTCTACAACTACTTGCATAATTCAAATCAGATATTAATCTGCTCTATGCAAAAAACATATCTACTTAAAGTGTGGTTTGGAGTGTCGGGTCCTAATAAATCTCTTACAAGTTTGGTTGATTGATGTCGCTAATTTTCAGTATAGGTCAGTGTTAGGTCATAGGTAGATTCCTTTTGACTATGAATTAAGTGTTAAAATATAGGAAATGTATAACAGACAACATGGAATATGTATGGCAAAATTAATATAATCATTTGATCCAGTGTGGAAGATGCATGCGGATTTAATTCGCAAATCATTGAACCATACTCAATCGTGCCACATATTTACATGTTTATCCTGCAGAACTAAGGCGCTAAAAGTAATTCCGGCCAAGTTCATGGGGATACATGTATTAGTTCATGCGTTTTCCATGTCATATTATACATTTATTGCATGATAGTGAGGGAAATATGAAGACTTATTCAGCCAAGAAAAATCATATTCCCCAAGGGTTTCCCGAACATTCCTGCAATGAATTGTTTATTATACCGAAACAAGCAAAACCTTTGAAGTAAACATAAACTTTCAAATTCGGCACCTTTCTCAAATTCATTTTCATTATTTACGTAAACACTGCATGAAAAGTCGCGTTTAATATAATTTAATATATTCGTTTACTCCATTAAATTTCTTGTATTGAATTTAATTAATGTATAACGGTACATTTTACATGAAATATATTGTGATATAATTAACTACAGTTTTCAAATAAGTATAATTATATTTAATGCAAAATACGTCGAGAATAATATAGTTTAATAGAGAAGATTATACGTTTTGTTTAAGAATATCGACATGTAAAAGTAAATATGCTTAAACTTAAAGTTTAAGTATGTTTTTGGTATTTTAAATATGACATAAATATTAATTCTTTATTTTAATCAAAATAAAAGATTGTTTACAGTTTTATTATTGCAAAATAACAAAATCATTTACATTAAAACTTCCGACGTTGTAATGTTGGCCCGACATTAATGAACCGTCAATGTTGCTACGTAAACTTATGTTGAAACATTTAAAAAAAAAATTATTTTAATTTTTAATTATTCATTTATTCATTTTTAATTATTTAACCCTAATGTAGATTTTCAAAACAGTGGAATAGATATTTTTTCACTAAAACTGTCGACTAATACTGTAGTACAATTACATTGGGATCGAAGTCGGGCTCGAAAAGCAATTAATTTAAACAACACGCCGCGCCGAAATTCAATTTTTTGGGGGTTCACGCAGCCATGTTGAACTTGATCATGATGTTGTACAGAGGGAAAGTGCGAAAGAGAGTGTCGCGAAAAGGAGAAGCATGATTAGCTTTGGATGGAATTTCTGTTTTGACAGAAGATGAAGACATTTTACGACCCTGTACTGCGGTAGGAACAATGTACAAAATTTTATCATGTGTCCTTGAATGAATAATTACTTCTGCTACTGACAATGTTACTGTTCCTTAGTCTGGGCACTACACATAAAATGCCTGACCGTAAAAACGTTTGGGCAAGCGCTATTTAAATTTTGCAATAATTATTTAACACTTTTAAACATCTCTCATAAAGATGGATTTTAACCAATTTCCTCGTTTGGGATTGGTTCAGGAATTTTAGTGTTCCTCTGTTCAGCATTTACAAAGTATGTTGTACAATGTAAAAAAAAATATATTACTTTTTAATGCATGTTCAAGATCATATTCAGCACTTATTTTGATTATTTAATAGTTGCAGTGGACTGTGCCTGAGACGATTCCCCACAGCGCCCGCGTATATAGTCAGCTTGTGAAATTGGTGAGAACCATGCAGCTCAAATTTTCATATAACACATATAACGTAGCATTGTTTTTTAGTAACTTGTATATTTTAGCATAAGACTATAAAAAATATTGCAACAACTTGAACTACTATTTACCAAGTAAACAAGACGAGGTTTATATTCTTAATTTCCTTAATCCTAAAAATACAATAGCAATGGATTCTGATAGGTAATCTAAACATGCTATAAATTGCACAGAGCTATGCATAATTATTCTACATTAAATACTTAATAAGCATAAATTATTGAAAATACTATCATATTCTATGATGCACAATTATACATGCATTATTTACAGGAATCCGAATACTCACAAGAAGGACAAAACCAGTATGAAAATTAACACAAAGGTAATATTTCTTAAGTTTTCTGATAAGATCAATAAAATCACATGAATTGAATTTTTGTTAGCTCACCTGAGCTATTTTAAGACCCAATAGAGTTTTCTGATCAGTGTCTGGTATTCGTCTGTCATCTGTAAACTTTTCAAATTTTTACATTCATCAGAATTAATCCTAATTTGAAAAAAAAAACCTTCAAAATACAACTTTTCTTTCAGAAATTGTGCCAGAAATGTTTGAAGTATCTATGGGAATGATCTGACAACATCGAACTTGCTGAGCCTTCCTTCTTAAAGTGACATGACCTGATATTTGGCTACCCAGTTTGAGATACGAACTAATCATTTGTTGTACGACTTATTGTGTATGAGATTGCCACCATTTACTGGAACTTTGAATTTCCTGTCCACTTTAAACCCCAGCTATCTACAGTGTAAGTTGTTAGTATATTTTATTTTATGTTAAATCACTTGCTCATTATCCCAATAACTTGCATGTTAAATGCTGTAGATGCTAACCTTTGCATTTTCGTAAACTCTTAAATTCTATGTGTTCCGAGTATGGTGCGCCATTATGTACATCCGTTTTGTATCATGTTTTTTCGTCTCTAAATTTGATCCTATACATATTATCATATGTTTTTGAAATAATTCGCTGAACTAGATCACAAAAGTTTAAGGATTTTATTATTGTATGAATGTTATCTACCTGCTCTAATCATAAATACATCTGTTTGTATATTTTTTCTATGAAATGCCATACCTGTTATTGATTTTTCATATTTTTTTATCCATAGTATCTTTCTGCTAAATGAAATAAAATACTGTGGAGGAACACGGAGAAAAGGGCACCTCAACATGTTCAAGGTCAAGCAGGTAAACACAGTGGTAAAATGCTCAAAAAAAAAGATGGCAAAAAGTTACTAGTCCCCAATTTACATGTACATCCACAAAATCTGTAGCTTGCTGGTCTGAAACTATAGATGTCTTAATATGTTAAATGCTGTAAATGCTATTATTTGCATTTTCATAAATTTTGTAAATCTTCGAATTCCATGTGCTCGGATTACGGTACCATTATGTATGTTTCGTATCATATTTTGTTGTCTATAAATTGATCTATACATATAATTATAAGTTTTTTTATGTAATTCTCTGAACTAGATGACACAGAGAATTTTATCATTGTGTAAAATGTTAACTACTTGCTTTAGTTATAAGTACACCCTGTTTGTATATCTTTTCTCCTTTTTTGTATACTCTTTCTATGGAGAGCCATACCTGTTATTAATTTTTCATGTTTTGTTTCTTACAGCTTTTTACCATATCCATAGTATCTTGCCCCTAAATGAAAGAATTATTGTGAAGGAACAGAGAAAAGGGCACCTCAACATGTTCAAGGTCAAGCAGGTAAACATAGTGGTAAAATGCTCCAAAAAAAGATAGGGAAAAAGTCATTAGTCTCCAATTTACATGTACACCAACACTAGTCTCAAAATTTGTAGCTCCCTGGTCTGAAATTATAGATAAATATTTTATTACCCAGACTTGAAAAAGTGGCATATCTTTTATGGTCTTCTGTTAATGTCAAAGTTCTGATGTTAAGAGAACCACCTGGAATAAAGAAACATTATATGGAATAAAACTCACAAACCCCTTTCTTTGTCATACAATTGTTCCTTTTTAGAACTACATTGCAATCAATGTAATCACACACAAATGTAAACACATCACCCCATACATGTAATATTAAATAGACCGCCATATGCACTTTCTTTTAAAATCTAGATAGGTTCAAAAATATGTCAGTTGTCAATAATTAATCAAAATTGAGCAGTAGTGTTCCTCTAGGTCAATTGATAAGTTTACAATCAACCTAGACTTTGTGTACTAGTTAATATACACATAAATCCAGAAGCACACATACAATATGTATATATAGGCAAATGGGTATTTATTTGCATATTTGTTGTAGAAATTAGGAGCTACATATGCTTCTCCAGAGCTGAAAATTTCTTGGGATGAAGAGAAGAAAAAAAGCAAATAGAAGCAGTTTTAAATATTGATTACGTCTTCATAGTACAAAAAATGATTCGAAAGATGATACTATCTATGAAATTAGAAAACTGAAGTGCCATTCTGATGAATGTGAAAAAGTCCGTAAAGAACAGGACACCAAAAGTGCCACTCTCAAATCAAAACACTCTAAAAAGGCAGAGCATAAGAAGAACTAGGACAAATAAAGAATCTAACAGAGTCAAACCTAATGATGTAGCAATTGAACAGAAATGGGCTATTAGAGATCAAACATCTTAAGTTGTTACTGTTTTGCGCAAATGTGATGTTTTTTTTAACTTAACTTTAATTGACACATTCAATGTTAGATAAGAAAAATATACCTTGTGTTGTATTTTTGACAGTTAAAGCTTTTTCTGATACTTCATTACAGATTAAAACTGTTATATTTTTTATTGTTTAAACATTGATTGGTTTATCGTGTAGTATGCAATCACATATATTTTAATCTTGATTTATGAAATACATATATATACAAGTTTGACTTAATAATAAGTGCATGGACATCTATTGTGGAAAAAAATAAGACAATCAAGGGTAGTCTTAAAGAGCTTTGCTGGCAGTAAGTGGCAGATCTTGATACCCAAGTAAGAGAAAGGTGTGTGTCTCAGACCGATCCTTTTGCTCTTGCTTGTGGGCAAGTGAGGCTTCTCTGTCAGTGGCTTAGTGTGTCATAGATGTAAAAAGTAGACTAAGCAGATGAGGTAGAGACATTTCTGAGTAAAAAAGGGTGAATTGTGATTTTAATAAATATAATATTGCAAGAGTAATGAGAATTGAAAGAGTAAAATATTTGTTTCCTTCCATATGAAGTAAAAGAGTTTATGACTAGAATTTTTTGCATTAAGATTAAATTGTAATTAAGGCTAAAAAAATTGTTAAATATACTTGTACATATGTTTCTACAGGAAATTTTATATGTACATGCTCATTCTTGAAATTTTGAGGCAAAGTGTAGAAGATTAATGACTGAAAAAAATATCACTATCAAAATGTCTTGCATTCCAATGTAAAATGAGGATATGTTAAAGTTATAATCATCAAGCAATAAACCTAGCAGTTGGAACAAATATGGGGTATTAGAGACAACTTATCAGCTGTTACTATTTTGTGTAATTGTGATGATGTTTCTTTAATTTGAATTGACATAACCAAATGATATAAAAAAAATTTTTTGGTGTTGTATTTTACACAGTCAACATAAAGTATTTACTGTACTTGGTTAAAGATTTAAAAGCTTTCATATTTTTATTGATACTAGATCGACTGGCTTATTGTGTCGCACACATGTACATATACTTTTAATCTCGATTTATTGCCATGTTTTTACAAGTTGATAATTAGTGCATGGACATCTATTGTGGATATACTTGGGAAACAATATAAGGGTAGTCTGAAAGGGCTTTGCTGGCAGTAAGTTGCAGATCTTGATACCCAAGTAAGAGAAAGGTGGCGTCTCTGACCGATCCTTTTGCTCTTACTTGTGGGCGAGTGAGGCTTCTCTGTCAGTGGCTTAGTGTTTCTTAATAGATGTACATGTAAAAAGAATGGGCATTTTTAATGGGCATTTTTTATTGCCAACTTTTATTCTTCTGTGCAAAGTTTGATACGATTTTTTGTGGGAAATTGAAAAACCATTTACAACCCATGCAGCAATTTCAATAGGGGTAGTTTCGGTCACAAGTTTTGCAGTCTTTTGGAGTCAAAAATGACTGCATTTTTTTACCTGTTGTGTTCTGATTTATTGCAGATTTAAATTTTACATACAATTCTATTTTTATAATTATTTTGTTATTGATTTGTTTGGACATGATGACCCATTGTTGTCAGGGTATCTTAAATTAATAAAATTTTAATTCCATATTAAGTGTTTTGTAAAATACAAAATTATTTCACTTACTAAAGTACTATTTAGTACCTACTACTATTATGCAAAAATTTGCTCCATTATAATTGAGCTACATTTATGATTGTAAATTTTTTAAATGCTGACATTTAGGCATTAATTTTGAAATATCTTATACTTTGTTAGAACTCATTGTTTGTACACAAATAACATAAAATAAAATTGAACAAGAAGTGGATTTGTGTATTGTAAAATACTTGTGAAAACACAATTATAAGCCATACGAAATAATGATGGAATAAGTATTAAATAAAAAAAATAATATGCAATAATATAATTATATTAAATTTCTTCTAATACAACCATAAATCTTAATGATATGGGAAGGTTTAATCCATATATTTCATCACATATACAAGAGATTTAATATTAGTTTATGAAAGATTAAAACTTGAACGTATTAGTAAGTTTACAATTCTCCGTATATAGCTTAATTTTTGAAAGTATTATAAAGTAAAGTGTGAATTTAACAAAAAATAATGAGGATAAGTTCTAGATTAAATTTTATTAAACGATCAAATTTAATATAACCATAAAACGTTTATTTTATGGGCATGTTTAATAATAATTGTACGTTTTGTATACTCGAGGTATAATATTTGTTTATGGGAGACTTAAATCCGAACGTATTATTAAGTTTACAATTTTCAAAACTTTATTAAATTTGTTCTTTTAATTTTTTTCATTAAACTCGTATTATATTCTGATTATTTTCTAACGTTTACGATCCCACAATATGTTATACTATGCATTTAAACATTAAATAATCGCAGCATTTAAATTGCATTTAAGGTAAAAGTAAACCCGACTTTTCATGCAGTGAAAGTTTCTATAAAACCTTTTGTTCAACACATTTTTGTGACGTAAACCAAGCTATTGTGACGTCTACTTCTCTCGGAAGTTTTTGTTCACCTAGCAGGAACTATATTGCGGGAAAATACACTAGGTGTTCCGAAGAGGTGGAATATGATGAAAAGCGTGCCGACGGCCAGGGAAATATAAGTTTTTACGGCCCGATCACGTGATAAACTAGAACCAATCAGATAGTGTGTTGTGTAGAATATGTATAATGAGGTATAATAATAAATAATAATTATATATTTCTGGTTAACATTCCTCTGAATAAATTACAGTAATTGCCCCTAGCTTTATTAAATAAAACGGGGAGGAATGTCGTGAAATTGTATATGTAAATATGTCCACTATGACCTTTCACTCTGACCTCATAGCCATCCACCCGTGCCGGCACGTTTCCTACCTCAGTCGAGAATTACCAGTCAACCCTTTCACCACGTTTTCCTGTTTGTTATATTTGTTGCATGTACCTGTGTTTACCTACCATGTAAACCTGGGTGCCCGTCGTCACCTTATGCTAAGGTAGGCGATACTTATCTATAGTAAAATGCTATAATTTTACTACAAAGTATTTCCTGTTTTGTTTTTCGCATCTGGTAAACAATAATTTTCTTTTTATTTCAAATATTGCCTGGTGTTAACATAATATGTGAATATATAATCTTTGACTTAAATACCACATTACAATGGGGGGATCTATGCACATAGTCTCCATAATATCAAAAAACTATACAATACCTAATTGATACAAAATACTCAAGTTGTGATTTGTTTGAAACCAGAGTTTTCTCTGTTATTGTTCAAGTTATTAAACTTTAATCATAACTTTCTATGCTCATATCCTTTATCTTTGTTAAATAGAAAAGTCTTTGTGCATAGTATTCTCTACAATCCGTTAGCATCTTTAATTTCTAGAAATGTGCTTATTGCGAAGTTATTATCATAACTTAAAAAAGTGTTTGGCAAAATTTTTCCCTCAAAGTAATCAGCAACAAGAGGCATGTCTTTTTGGACAGTTCCATTATTTTTTTTGTATGTTTTTTTTTCCAACCTTTTTCAACTTTTTTTCCCCATATATTTGTTTTTGACAACTGGGGGTC